GACAAGGATAAAGCTCAACAGGCAAGTCAGGGGGAAGCCCACAGAGCAGACACAGAAGCAGCTGGCCCATCCAGCATGTGTCATAAATTACTGCAACCCCCAAATCAATTTCTGCAACTTTAAAACTCACTATTTATTGCTGTATGCTTTCTGCTCTTGCAAGTATGCTTTCCTCTTAAATCTGTCAGACATAGGAAGTTCTTTATGTAGTTATTCCTAAACTTTCCCATTGTACTGAGCCTTAATGTTTCAGTAATTTTTATGCAGTTCCCCTAGGCTAAAAAAAAACTTCCATTTATAAAGTAGTGAAGTGTAAATAACTTGATAAATATTTATGTCCTAACAACTTCATAGCCATTGGGGAAAATACACACGAATGGAAATAAATTGTTTTCTTTCTTTCTTATCCCTCCTTACTAATAGGATGCGTGCCTCCGCTGGACACTCCCAGGTTCTCCAACCCTGCAGTCAGATTGGACACCACCCATATTTCCTGTTCCGCAATGATTTTGTTCCATTCTTGCGCTGTAACCACAAAAATCTCAGCTTCACTGAGATGTGAGGGCAGCGAAAGACAGGCAGCACTATCTAACACTGGCACTGCCGAGGTCACATTGCGTGACTTTCCTCAAAGATGTTTAGAAATTAACATCACTTCTGCAAAGTGGGACCCTGTGGTGGACTGGAGTACAGTCTGGAACCCATAGTCTGACGAAACCACTTGACCGTGACTTTTCCTATGCGTGCGTGTGTGTAAATAACCTATAACCAAAGTAAATATGAATTCATTTATGATTAAAACATTTTTAAAACTTTAAACAGCAAAGTAAAAGATAAGAGGAAGTGAGATCTTTTTCAAGTGGGAAGAGGAACAGGAGATGGGGAGGGAAGAAAGGGAAAAAGGATGAGAAGAGAGACTCAAAGGAAAAACAGAAACAGCATTTTCAAACAGGAAGGGTCTCAAGAGTTGGAGGCAGCAGGGGGATGGGAAGAGAGGAGGCACAAAAGGTACAAACGCCCCACAATAAAGGTAATCATCATGTACTGCAGTCTTGACAATAAAAACTACATAATAAAAAATAAATGAAGAAAACATTTTAAAATCTGGAAGGATCCAAACCAAACTAGTAACTGCTCACTTCTAAGGAAATAAATAATTTTGGGAGGAGAAAAAGTCTAGGGAGGATTTTACTTTTATCCCTTTTGTCGAATTTTTTTCAGGAAGAATGTTTTCATGTAGTATTCATGTAATTAGTATATGGGCAACAGCCACACGCAACAATGTAATGTACCCACACAGAAATCCCTGCAAGGCCATCTGTGCAGTGCTGACTTTTGCTCAGCTCCAGCAGAGGGGACTTATTTGCTGAAATAGCCAGCAGGGGCCTGTGAGGAGAGTCCCAGGCGAGCGCTTCTTATTCACTCGCACAGAAATTCCCGACCGCATTTTCCTTTTCAAGAATCTTCCTTCCTTTCTCACTTCCCATGGCAGCAATTCCCAGGAGGTGGTAGCTGGTCACAATCACCTGGAGTCTCTCCCAAAGTCAACCCCTCCCTCCACCTGCCCAGATTCCCACTGCTCACATTCTACAGGCATCGTGCTTCAGGCATGGCAGAGGGTGTTGCTTTCGTGGTCTGGGGCCCAAGGCTGCTAGCCAAGGCCTCATCTCCTGCCCTCACTTCACCTGGGCTGAGCCACATGGCTGGATCCTACCAATGGGGAAAACAGTGCGGAATGCAATTCCACATCTGAGTCTGACACTATTCCTACGAAGACACGCACATCCCACATCAGCAGGACTAACTGCCCCACCCCACCCATCGCCTTGGGCTAGAGCTCCAGGCCCCTCTCCAACCAGTTATTCCTCTGCACATGTGATAATGTGGAGGAGAATAAAGGCTCAGGATGTCCCCAGGGATGCAAAATTTAGCCCTTCACAAGGATGAGCCACAGAGCACTCAGATCTGAAGGACGATTACAGATTTGAGGCACAGGTGCGAAGAGAAAGATTTCAGAAGAAGAGCCAGCACCAAGCCTCAGCTGCGCTTCTCACTGTGGGAATCGCTGGCATATTGAGCTGCTTTCTGTGCCCCGGTGTATCCCTTTGCCAGTGAGAACGCTTAGCCCCTGAGAAGAGTTTGAGAGGATGGGGTTCTCTCTCTTTTTGACCCTCAAATGGTTAAGTCACTTAGCCGCCTTTAAAACAGAGCCCAAGGGAAACACCCTGCAGAGCACTCTGATAGCCCAGAGGGCCTCCCGGCAAGCCCCGCCCACCTCTCCCTGGCCCAGGTGGAGAGCCTCCGACGGCTGCCCTTGTGCTGTGCACACTCTGACAATCCCCCGGCTTCCGGATGTGGCAGCCCAGCCTCGTCAAAGGCCATACGCTTATGCATAATTTACTCCACATGTTTGTTTGTTGCGCCTGCCAGAGGCATCTGTCGTAAATGTTTCAATGCCTTAACTTTAGATGAGTTTTCTTTTGAAATAACTGTCCCTGGGGTGATGCACTGAGCAGTAATTAGCACCCATCTATCCTCAGGCCCCCCTTGGCACCGGTGCTCGCCATAAAACATTCACTAACCGGAGCGTCAAGGGCCGCGGCCATCACGGCAGGCTTGGGGGACAGGCACCTGCAGCCTTGCCGCATAGACACCCAGGTGACAGGTTCCACCGACCTCTGGGACCACTGAAATAGGGTTTCGCATTGAAGCCCCTTCCGTGGAGTCTGTCACAGGAAGAGTCTCTGAAGGACTCACACTTCCCACCCCAGCGGCTGGTACGGTGCTCCTTGAATCTAAACATAAAAGCCGGCTTCTCTGTCTTTGAAGCCTTGTGCCCCGAGCCCACCCGCGTCATCCAGGGCCTCCATCTCCTCTCCCACTCGCAGACACCACGCCCCAGCAGCGAGGGTGGTCTCACGGCGGTCACTGATGTCTTAATTCGTTCCGTCAGTGGTGAGTGTTTCTATAGCGCTCCTCCTCCACAGGCTCTCACCTCTGTGAGCAGGGCCCCAGCTGGTCTGAGCTCTGTGGCAGTTAGGTCTGGCATCAGAGTGTTATGGCCTGGACCTCCGGGACAGTCCTTGCCAGTCGCTCTTGGGCCCCCTTCTCCACCCTTCCCTCCTCTCCTCCATGTTGTGGGGCACTGACTCCTGACAGGTATTTCCCAGTGAAGTTGGTCACATGTGACCATGGCAGGTCCTGCTGGGACCCTGGAGGGCAGGAGGGGGAAATTCAGGGCATCTCTCCCCTGCTTTCCACCTGCTTCCAGGAGCATCTTCAGGAGCAACCTCTCCTCAAAGATTCCAGGCCCGCTGGGTAGCCCTGGCTCCTGAGCGCTGGTCCTGCCATACCCACTCTGGGGGAGCCCCTTGGGCCATCTCTTGACAATATCACCCCCTCCTTTCTTGTCCCCCAGCCCTAAAAGTGGCCACCACTCACTGCTGTTGCTAATCTCCTGGGTGCCTCAACATCCCTTCTCGGAAAAGCTTTGAAATTAGTCCCTCATATCTTTTTTTTTTTGTACCAGGGATCAAACTCAGGTCCTTGCACTTGTGCAGCAGGTGGCGGAACCACTGAGCTAAATCCCCAGCCCTATCCCTCAGATTATTTACCCCTCTATTGCTCTACATAGAATAAGCTTTTTTCTGGTTATACTCTAATGCAAACTTTATGGAAGGAAAGGAGACAAGGACTGGAACCAGAAGGGACTGAGTGAAAGGGTCAGAGTTTGGACTCCCTCCCTAAGTCATACATAAAAATCAACTCAAAGGCCGGGGATTTAGCTCAGTGGTTCCGCCGCCTGCCTTGCAAGCGGAAGGACCTGAGTTCGATCCCCAGTACCAAAAAAAAAAGAAAAATCAACTCAAAGACCAGCACAGCTTCCCAGTCCTGCCATCTCTGGCATCCTGCCTCCTCTTAGGGTCCTGTCATCTCATATGGACAGTGAGAAAGCTTGCTCTGGAGGGAAACTTGAGAACATCTCCAAATCTATCCAGGAGAGCATTTTCCAGGAAAGATTCCGTCTGAACCAAGGAGGAAGAAATCCAGCCTATTCCTTTTTAAGTTTCAGGCTCTGTATTCTTCCTAGAAACACCATATGTATCTGTGTTTATATTCCTGGATTCCCTCACTGTCTGTTGACCCTCTTGCTATAAACTAAGCTAATTCCACTCACTGTTGTCCTCAAGGGAATCAGAACATATCTCCACCAAAATTTACACAGAGCCTCTCATGTAGGGTAGCAAGTTTGTCTCTTACTAATCTTGCCAGCAAATACCACCATCCACATATGACTTTTTAGGGTGGGTGAGCATCTGCTTAAGGAAACACTGGAGAGACCCAAGAACTTAGGGTTAAAAGCACTGCTTTTGAGTCAGACCTGTCTGGCTTACACTCTGGCTGATTCTACCACATATTTGATTAGCAAGTGACTTCTCTCTTTAAACCTCAGCTCTCTTGTGTAAGATCTGGGGATCAAAATAACTTTGTGACTTAAATAGTATCTGTGAAGCCCATACTGAGCACTCTATAAATGTTACTTATGTTATCATTATCAATGGTCTTCTATAACCACACACTTGAAAGTCAAAAAGAATTGGCATAAGAATAGACAAATTAATGCTGTATAAAACATATAAATGACAAACCAACACCCAAAGTATTGTGGGGTGACCAACATCATCTCTGCATATCAGGAAAGAAAGTCACGAACTCTCAGCACCAACTCTCAGCTGCCTCGACCCACACAGCATAGGGTCCAAAGCCGGGGAGAGCGGTGGGAGATGAAGAAAAAAACGAAGAAACAAAGACTATTCTTGAAAGTTCGGACCAGGTGGAACCACAGCTTGTCGAGAGCTAATGGCGCCTGGAGTGGTGCGACGTGCTCTTTGCTTATAGTGCAAGCAAACAGGAAGAGAAGGCGGGACAAGGAGTGCTACGTAGCCTATGAGGCCTAGGCCGAACGCAGCGTGATTGCTTCATAATGGGGCATGCGCAGGTAGAAACAGGGGAGGATACAAGGTAACGGTCTCCAGGGGCTGTGCCATCGGGGTCTACAGTCTTAGTCACACAGACTGTGTTTGACTATCTAGTCGAGTAGGGAGGAGAAATGAAGTAGGGAGGCGGCGAAGGCCCATCTTCAGGCTCAGCCCCCAGCACTCAGCCTGTAAAATCCGGGCTTCCTGTGTGACAGAAGAGACCCAGAAAAGAGCTTGCCTACCTGGTAAATGAGCTGCGATTTCCATCCCAGGGTTCTGGCTCCCTGTCTACCAACCTGTGAGCCTTATCACACTGCACCTCCCCAAGGTGGACATGTCACTGTCACTTCATTATGGTACAAAAAATTTTATTTCACATGGGAATTGTGTGGTCTTAGCAATAACAAGTCTTGATAATGAAGGTTGGCCTCAGGGAAACGTTACAGAAAGACCTTTTTTAAAGGAAATGGCCACTGCTAACATTATACTTACTTGAGGAAGACTACATTTTTTTTCTCCTAAGAGCATATCTGTATTTTGTTTTTTTGGACCAGAGATCGAACTCAGGACCTTGTGCTTGCGAGGCAGGCGGCGGCACCACTGAGCTAAATCCCCGATACTAAGAACATATCTGAGTAACACTGGGTTAGGTAATAACTTCTAAGACATTACACAAAAGCACAAGTGACAAAAGGATAAATGGATAAACTGAACTATTTTGAAATTTAAAACTTTTGTGCAAAAATAAAGTCCATTCTCACCATTTCTATTCAATAATACCCAAGAGATTCTAGTCGGGGATTATGAGACAGACACTGAAAAAGATGACATGACCTTGTAAATAAAACAATCCCAAGAAATCCATTAAAATGATTAGAGCTCATAAACTAGTTTTAAAATTTATGGAATAAGAACCAATATACAAAAATCAATTTTATTTCTATATACTACCAATGAACAATCCAAAAATAAATTTTTTGGTTTTGGTACTGGGGATTGAACTTGGGTCCTTAGCTTGCAAGGCCCCAAAAATAAAATTTTGAAAACAATTACATTTGCAGTGGTATCAAAAAGAATAGCTGGGGATTTAGCTCAGTGGTTTCGCCACCTCCTGCACAGGCGCAAGGACCCGGAGTTTGATCCCCAGTACCAAAAAAAATAGCTAAAAAGAATAAAATAATTATCAGTAAGCTTTAGAAAACTGAAAACTATGAAATGAAATGAAGTTCTAAATAATTGGGAAGATATCCCATGTTAATAGAGTAGAAGACTTGTTATTGCTAAGATGAAGACACTTGTCAAACGAATCTACAGCTTCAGCTCAATCTTGATCAAGATCCTAACTTGTTTTTTCTCCTCTTTTTTTTCTCAGAACTTTACAATCTGGCTAGGAAATTCATGTAGAAATGCAAGCCATCCACAATTTTGTCAAAACAATTTTGAAAAGAAGTACAAAGTCAGAGGACTCACACTTCCCAATTTCAATATTTACTATACAGGTACTGTAGTCAAGGTGGTATGGGGCTGGATAGAAATAAACTTACATTTATAGTCAGGTGACTTTTTATGGGGTATCAAGATAATTTAATGGGGAAAACAATCTATTCAAATAATGCTAGGACAACTAAATATCCACATGCAAAAAAAAAAAAAAAAAAGGAATTTTGACTCCTTCCCTAAATCATACACAAAAATTAATTCAAAAATGGATCACAGGCCTGTCAGAGGTAACACCATGAATTCTTGGAAGCACATCTGAATAACACTTGGGTTAGGCAATAACGTCTTAGACGTGATGCACCACAAGTGACAAAGGAACAACAGATATACAGAACTATTTCAAATTAGAACTTTTGTGCATTAGGTGATATTATCAATAAAGTATAAACTGCAGAATTAAAGAAAATATTTGTAGACTATATTATGTGATAAAGGGCTAATATCCAGAATATATAAAAATATAGGGGTTTTTTAGCTATGATAATAAAGAGCCAATTAACACAACTTTTAAAATGGGCAAAGGATTTGGATAGACATTTTCCCAAAGAAGACATACAAATGGCCAATAAACATGTCAGTGGGGGTTCAACACATTAGTCATTAAGGAAATGTAAATTGACACTGCAGTGAAATACCATTTCACATGATTAGGATGAGTAAAATTAAAAAGAGAGGGAAGGAGGTTGGGGAAGATGTGGGGATACTGCAGTCCTCACACATTGTTGGTTGCAATGTGAAATCGGGCAGTCACTTTGAAAGGCAGTCTCTTCAAAGAAGGAGGTGATTTCTTCAAAATTTTAAAAATAAACTTACCACATTATCCAGCAACTCTATTCTTATGGATATACTCAAGAGAAACAAAAATAGATACCCAAACAAAAATCATACCCAAATGTCCATAACATCCTTATTTATAATTGGCCAAAAAGAGCCTACTCAAATATTCATCGACTAACAAATGTATAAATAAAAGGAAGCCAATTTTTAAATGGAATATTACTTAGCAATAAAAAGAATGAAATACTGTATTGCTGCACATGGTAACATGGATAAATCTTTCAAAACTTTCCTAAATGAAAGAATCTAAAGATCACATATCAAATGATTCCATTCACGTGAGAGTCTGGAACAGGCAAATTTATAGACAAGAAAAAGGAGGTTAATATGTTGATCAGGACTTGGCAATGATTGGGTACAGGATTTCTTTTTGAAGTAATAAAAAGGTTTCAAACTTAGATTGCGAGGACAATCGCACAAATCCATGACTATACCAAAACCCACTAAATTATAGTTTAAGTTGGTGAATTGTAGAGTATGAAAATTAAATTTCAATAAAAGTGATTTTAAAAGGGACTTAATATCTTTAAAATTAAAAGAAAAAGAAACAAACCAATGGGTGTGGTGATGAGAAGGAGCTGGGTCCCATCACCAGCCCCCACAACTAGCTGTGTGGTCTTGGGGAAGATTCACATGGTAGCTTACCGTGCACAGCAGGAGGGGCAGTGGAAGATGAGGAGACACACAGCCCCAGGGTTCCAAGAAGGTGGAATCAAGGTGACACACAAGGGGGAAGAAACTCATCCCAAGCCACCAGCCACGCTCATCCTTAGTCCCTGTCTGCTGCCCACAGGGCCTTTCTGAAGCACTCCCTGCCCCAGGGCCCCTGAAGCCATGCTGCACAGTGGGCACCGACAGACAGCAGCTTCAGCTACGGGGTCTCCGTGACCGGCTCCCATCGATGAACAGATCTGGGGCAGAATAGAAGCATCTACACACTCACAGAACCACAGGAACACAGAAGGGCCCTGACAATTACACTCGGGGCTGTTTTAATCTTACGCTGTGCATTGGGAGGTCATTTCCTCCTGGTGCCCACGAAGCATTAGGGGCTTGGAGCCTCGCATTGTCAGCTGTGTAATGAAAATAGATGTTGAACACTAAAACATAAACATGTGTATCCCTCATAACACATTCAGATGTTTTTTAATTATTCATGGTTCCTGAAAGCTATTTGACCTATCATGCATATATAGCCAAGGAATGTTTATATTAGAACCACAGCCCCGATGTACACAGTTCCAGCCCCTTGGCATTCCCATCTACAGAATTAAAGTTAAATGAGTCAGTGGTCAATAGAAGTTACATGCGATTTCCATAAAACTATCCACTGTACACGGCGAGGACTGTGTGAAGATGCCAAGCTGACAGAACACAGAGTGCTTGCTCTTGACGAGGGTGCCCACCATAATTACTCTTTCCTACACATGAGCCCATTATTTCCCTAAATAATTGGTGGTCTTGGAGTTGCTCCTCATCTAAGAAAAAAATAACTCGGAGGGCCACCCTCTCTTCTCTTAAGTCTTGTTTTCTTAAAAAAAAAGGTAGTATTCTGGGCTCCAAAACGCCACATTCTTATGTTTTGGTGTTTGCATAAATTTGCATGCTAACATGAATGGTTCCAACTTAAAGAATGTGAAACAAAATGAAATTTGAATTCAAATCCGGGGTGGAGAAAAGACATATGCAGAAATAACAAATTTTTAATCTTGCTGATATTTTTTTCAGAAATGAGATTTAGGAAAGTCATAAACACACACTTGTTTGATTTCAAAGAAGGGTGACACTCAGAGACTGGTACTGCCAAAGAGGGGACACACACACACACACACACACACACACACACACACACTCTGAGTATTTAAGGACCACGTCAAACTCTGAAGCTCAGAGATAGGCCTTAGGCTAAGCGTACCATCCCGTTCCTATTTTTGGAATCCCACCCAGAAAAACTAAATGTGAATAACACTGTATGAGTAGCTCAAACAAATACAGGCAAGGATTCACCTCTGCTTATTCTCAGAGCTATTTCCTGCTTTATCCTTTTATTTCCCCACTGCATTGGGGCAGCAGTGGCTTGATGATTAGACCTCATTTTGAATCCCAGATCCATCCACCCTTTAGTGGCTGTGTGACCGCTGGAAAATGATTTTATCTGCAGGTGACTTCTTTCATGATTTTTCACTTATATAACAATAGCACCACGGGCCAGGGATTTAGCTCAGTGGTTCTGGCGCCTGCCTCATAAGCGCAAGGTCCCAAGTTCAAGCCCTGGTACCAAAAAAAAACAAAAACAAAAACAAAAAAATTCAAAAAAAAAATTTCAAATAGCACCAGCCTTAGATTTATTGTGAGAATTAGATGAGATGATGTTGTACACTCAGCGTAGTGGCCAGCAGAGAGCAAGCTCTCCGTGAGGGTTCTCTGCTCTCATGGGCTCCACACGGTGGAGTCAATGTTGTGCAATACTTAGGGAGTGGCAGCCAGAGGAACCAGGCCCGAGGCTGCTTCTTTCTTCTCCAATCTGCCCTCCAACTCTGTCCAGACAGCAGCACCCAGGAAAGCAATGGCTCGAGTCACAGTGACAGCTGTGTCCAGCAGCTCCAGCCCAGGACACAGGAAATGCCACTCTCATTCCACCTTGCCCCACACAGCCCGGTCTCCCTTCACTGAGGTGCCCCAGTAACAGGACTGCAAGCCCTTCCCAAAAAATGAGTGGCCCGCGCAGCGTCTTACCCCGTCATCTCCTCCTTCAGTCGCATTTGTTTCCAATTTCTGGACCACCGACTTGTCGTTCTCCTTTAACATTTTCTCCCGAACTCTGGTTTCATACTCAGGCCGGGAGTGCTCCTAAACCAAAAAGTCAGAGAGAAGTTAGTAAACAGGAGGAAGAGTGACCTGGACCCTTGGGTTACAACTGGACAGCACAAGTACATCAGAGTCGGGGTCGGGTCTGGACGCTATCAGACATGAACGGTCACACCACACAAGGTCACAAGTAGGCTAGACCAAGAACACAGTATGACAGAGAGAGGGGGACAAACGACACGCATTACCACACTGAAAGCCAAACCTGGGCTCGCTCCTGGGGGTGGCACCGGCGTTGAGAAAGGAGAGAGGAAGTGTTAGCTGGGCAGCAGACGCAAAAGATGCCATGTGCAGTTTGACAGGGGCAGAGGGACAGACCGACTCATGCTGCCAGCTGGCCTCAGACCTCAGCTTGCTTTCCAGCTGAAGGAACAGATGCCCCATGGGGAATCAGGGCGACAGCAACACTTCCCTGCTCCATCGCTTTGCGAGCTCAAATGGCAGCCAATACACATCAGTCAACAGTGGCCATGGGGAACCCTAAAACTCATGTGCCTGAGCCTGTTCCCAGTGGAGCGAAGGTGAGCAACTCACTGGCAAACACGCCAACGCTTGGAAGACACCACTGGGCCATTCTGCCACCCAGGCCCAACCTATGAGTCACCAGGCTTGGAAAAGAGCACCTAACTGATCGGAGGACCCTGGCCATGGAGTCGGTACAGATGCCAGGGCAGAAGACATGGGACTCACTTCCTAGGAAATGTAGCACATCCTGGGCTCAGCGCTCCTGCAGCTGCCAGCTCCAAAACAGGTATCTACTGCTGCGAGGAGCGCGTGTCTCTGCGTCAGTTACTGACCTCACCTAGGTGTGGATTCACACTCACACACTGGCTCTGCAGCTAGAAACACACATTTCCTTATCACGGACACGTTATCAGAGATTCCACAGCGAGGCTCCTACCCTGCCCCTGCCTGGCTTTCCAAAAACAAGCCCCACTATGGGAGAGATGCTGCAAGTGACTAACCACCTTAACACAGAACAGCAGGTGACACCGGTGCTCATTAAGGCCCTCCCCCGCCACCAGCCTCAGTGTGTCGGTCCCTCCCCTTCTCTGTCTGTCTGTCAGATGTCCTGGCTGGGCATCTCCCCTCTGAGTCACTCAAGTTTTAAGCTTACACCACAACTGTTGCCCTCCATTACACGTTTTCTCTGCTTTCCTAGCTGTTTTGCGCAAGAACCCTTCTTCTCCTACCCCAGGATCTGCTCCCTGCTTGGCATTATTCTGTTCTCGCTGTAACTGGCACCATGAAGAACACACAGAAGTCTAAATGCTGCTGACATTCACTCAATTTTGTCTCTCACCTTCATCCATCCTGCAGCCCAGCACTTCCTAAGGTGTGCGTGTTCCAAAAGAGTTTTAGCTAAAAAGAGGATTCCAGGTTGTAACAGACTGGAAAACACCACTCCACGCATACCCTTCTGAGAGCCACAGGGAACATATTAAACTCTCTGGAAAGCACTACTGTAAAGACACCTGCTTAATCTCCATAAGCTCCCCATTTCCCAAAGAACAGCTTTTGCCTATAGCAATTAACATTCTTCAGGAACACTCTAAAAAATGTGGTGTGAAGTTTTCCTCCATGGCCCCTGAAATTTGATTACATTTTTCTGCCTTGTTCCAATAGAAGATTTTAATGAAAAACTGCAGCAATGTCTTCTGGCCCTATAATATGGGTTCCAAACCTCCTCAAGCCCAAGGAGCTTCTGTCCTCTCACACCCTGCAGGGGGGCTGAGGAAGACCCTCCTGCCTGGCAGGCTGTTTCTGACACGCTGTGGCACGTCACACAGTGGCACGCTGGCATTTCCTGGTATCCCTTAGTTACGGCTGTGGCCCGCCTTTCCCCATACAGGGCCTCAGTTCAGATGACTGTTGGAACAAGCCAGCCTCTGGCACACAGACAGGAGTCAGCAACTCAAAGCAGAACTAGGTTGGAGATCTGGTGAGGTTACAGAATCCCCTAAATGTTGGCTAATCCAAGCTTGTGAAGCTGCCTCTGGGACTTCCAGGACTCTGGGAAGCTGAAGCAGGAAGATGGCAACTTTGAGTTCAACCTGGACAATTTAACAATTTAGGAAGACCCTGCTTTATTTTTTTTTTAAGGCAAGACAAAGGAGCTCCTGGCCACAGCAGAATCTAGTTCCAAGTGGGCTGCTCCAACACACCGAACCCTGGGCACATCAACCTGATATTCCCAAACACAGCCTCCCTGGATGCACAATCTGATGCCAAATTATTCCAAATACTTTTATCTGGAAGTGTCCTCAGGAGGAAGACCCCAGGCCAGCTGGCAACCAGCTGATTTAAAGAGGTCAAGCCAGACATTCATCCAACAAATACTTCCCCGAGGAGTTAGCAAGCGCCTACTATGCGCTGAGCTCTCTTCCAGGCACTGAGGCTGCAGCACTGGTCCTACAGCAGGGCCCTCCCCTAGCAAGAGGAGGAAGGTAACAGGAAGTCAGCACAATGCACAGGAGAAGCTAGCACGTGAGGATAAGAACAACAGAAGAAACAGAGCAGACTGGAGAGTGAGGAGAGGCTGACGTGAGGAGGTGAATTTCGCTGAGATGGAAAAGCCAACAAAGGACAGCTACACCAAGACTGCAGGAGAAGTGTTCTGGGCAGCAGAACAGCCACTGCAAAGCCTGGAGTAAGTTTGGGATGGAAAGGAGGCCTGTGTGCCTGGAAGGCCTCAGCAAGGAGGAAGGCGACAGGGCCAGGGTCAGAGAGGGAGGCAGCCTTCTGTTTCCTGTTGAGGATATCTGAAGCTTGACGTGCCAGGCAGCACATCCACATTCAGAGGCCCAGGGACACCTGGGGCTGGATGTGACAGAAGCTAACTGGACCAGAAAGGCCCATTGTGCTGGGTACAGCACTTCAGAGCAATCAGCTCTGGGGGTCTGGCCGGCCTCCCTGCAACAGGGACTTGCGGGGTCCAAGGACACCCCCAGCAGGGCCACATTAACCCAGTGGGTTGGCTCTGGGCTTTGACCGCTCACCTCCTCCCTGGCCATCTTGTCTTTTCTGTCACCATCCTCAGGTTACAAGCTGGACTTAAGCCACCCCACTGTTCCACTTTGGGGGGACTACATGTTGGGAACACTGCAGCTGGGAGGGAGAGAAGGTGAGTGGGCTTTGGTCTATGTGTGCAGTAGCACCTCCTTCCTCCTAAGTAGCTGTTTCCTGGCAAAGACCTCAGGGACGTGATGGCTTAAGGTGACAGGCGGCTAGACTTGGGCAGATTCC